AGTCTGGTTTAGACGGCAAGATTTAAGAATTGTTGGCTGATTCTCCAAACCTCTGTGACCACAGAGCTGATAAAAGTACAACAGTTTCGATCGGTTTGTGTGTCCAAGGCAGGAGCAACACGAACCGATTCCAGTCACCAACATCCCGATTCCAGAGGATGATCCAGTAAAACCCCCAACATAGCATACGGGAATTTAGAATGACCAAACACGGATGACGATGTAGAAGCAATAGTGACAGTTTGTGGAGTCATTTTAAGAGACAAAAGATGTAACAAAAAGAAAAGGCGGTGGATAAAAGACAGCGGGAGCAGCCGCTCCATTTGGAGGCGACTATGTTTTTTTCATAGTTAACATTTTTAACTGAATAAACATACACATATATAATAACGACCTTTACATAAAATAATAAACATTTCCACATATCATCTCCGATATCCACCGGACTCACAGTTGTGCGATATGTCAGCTGTTTGGGATTCCCCTCTGTTCTTACGTCACCGTGCTTCCTGATTGGCTACCTGTCACATTCAGCAGGTTGTATTCTCGTTGCCAGTCAGGGAAAACCTCACAGGCTGCGATAAAAGGGCCAAGACAACCCAAATTGGGCATATTCAGGCTTTAGCGGGAACACCAACATGCAGAAGCCTTATCTGGCAGTTTGTGCAGCGAACGGGCAGAAAGAGCGGGTGCTTCTTAAAGAGACAGAAGCCATATTTCAAGGCATTAAGTTGTAAAGTCAAATTTCTTTTAAGTCATGTTTATATGTACAGCATTTTTATAACAACTGAAGGTAACAGTTACCTGGTGATTATAAAATGACACTATGTGTCTGGGAAACACATAATGCAGCCCCTTTCAAGAGCTTGCACCATGTTCCAATTTACAGAAATTCAAAAACCAGTGAGAAACAGTCAAGTCATTGATATCTGTCAGTTAGAAAATGGCTATTTCTAAGCTTTTGGGAGATGAGAACCATTATTCATACACAGGAAAAAAAATAAAAAATGGCAAGTCTCTTCTGCCAAAATAATTTTTGTTAAAATGACAGGACTTCACGTCCAAGGTTTGAAACCACAAAACCTGGAACCGATTGGAAAGCAAACTCCGCTCTGTTATTTGGACTTTCCGTTGGAAGCTGAAGCATGTTTGGTGGTAATCATTTTTGATTTTTCAGATTTTAATTTAAAACTTGCACAAACAGGGACGTTTTGTTGCCAACTTTGCCCAAAGCTGCTGGTTAATTGCTAGCCATCTGACAGCTCATAAGTTTATTCATTAATTTATTTTCCTCTTCAGGGGTCACCACCTTTTGAATCTTCTCTTTGCTCTGGGTGCTTGGGTGTCTCCTTTCTCTCTGGATCAGCTTTTCTTGCTTCCACTTCCAATTTGTTTTTGAGCTCTGATGGTTTCTGATAATCATTTTGATATTCATGTTTTTTAATGCACCTCTATTTATTTGGAGCTTTGCATACGAATAGTATCCCCTGCAGCTTTTCTTTTCACCTCTAGGTGAAAAGAAAAGCTGTTATTTACAATCTGCAATTGTGTGACTGGGAGCAGATGTAAACAGCCTGGTCTATTCATAGTGCATATATTATTGATTTGACACATGCTCATGGAAACCATCAGGATGGTTTCTCACTTATTACAAAGCTGCACAAACACAGTTGTTTGAAGCAAAGCCCACCCAGGAGGAGATAGATTTGTTTTTGCAGAAAAGGTGAAACGAGTGCGATAAGGATTGTTCCTTTGCTGTCATCTGTTTGGAAACTGTTTGGGTAAATAATAATAAAACTTTGTAGAAATTCAAAGCACAGATCACATTTTCCATGTGCCATCTGGTAATATAATAAGATTTTATTCCTGAAAACATTAATTAATTTTCACGTGTTGTATGTGAGTTTGGTCAAAAGTTTACATACACTCATTGTCAGTTTAGGCTTTCATTTGAACTTATATTTTTTCCAGGATAAAATGATTATATAAGAAACAATTTGAGTCATTTTTTTCCTAGTTTATGTTTAATGGTGACCCTGCGTACCAGTCCATACATACACGCCTGCTATTTTTGGGTAAATGTCTCGTAGCAAGATGGCAGGGAATCTAGATGCTTTTATTAGCCATCAATAAGCTTCTGGCATAATTCTGATTGGATACTTTCTGTCAGAATTGGTGGAGCTTATTTAAGTTGATGTTTCATGAGAGCTTATACATGCAAGATGAGGCAAGACAAGGTCGTTTATCTAGCACCAGTCATACAAGTTCAAGTCTAAAGGGCTTTATAGGGCATCAAAAATAAAATAATTAAACATAATTATAATCAAACAGTTCATTAGTCAGATTCTGGTTTTTATGCCTCACTAGGACTCTTTTTAACAAATATCTTGTCATTGAGACAAATAGTTCTATATTTGTCTCTTTTCTTTCTGCCTCTATGTTGTTTGACTTCTGATTCTCGAATTCTAACAGTGAACAACTAAATTATACTTTACCTATTATTAGATTCAGTTAAACTTTAATTTGGGCTTTTAAAAGATAAGAAATGCTTTAAACGCAACATTTAAAGTATTGAAGCAGAATATTTAGGACACTTTTCTTCGTGGTCTGTGTGTCATATATGATTTACAGATGCACAAAAGCAAGATCTTAAAATTGTTGGACTGCCTGATGAAATACTTTTTAGAGGGCAGATTCCAGTAAAACCCCTTGTCATAACAAACCGGGTTCCCCAAGGGTGTCACTGACCCACATACATACCCTTCTGATATGTTGAAATGCAAAAATAAGTACCTTCATGTTATTCACCAGTTTCTTTCTTTCAGATCATGTCTCTCTCATTATGAGTACCGTAGTTTGAAATTTTGACTGATAACTTAATTCTTGATTTTTCACAGTTTGCAGTGAAGGACAAAAAACTCGTAGTCTTTTTCTTGTTTTGTTGCCATAAAAACTTGTTGTTGTCCACTTTTTGTCTATAGATGTGTTGCTGCGTGACGTCAAAGTTTGAATTGAGTGCTGTGGAATGCTGTGTGATTTGGTTCAGTTAAAAAAAACAAAAAACAAACAAACAAAAAAAAAAACTAGGTGACCCACACACCAACTCTCTGACAGCTCATCGGCAGAGCAGGTGTTTAAATTAGCGTATCAGGTTAGCTACCGCAGCGATCACTTATTACTCATTTCAGTAATTAATTATTGAAATTAATAATTATTGATTATCAATTTGTTACAGGTAACACTGTAACAAACTGAATGTTCTGCTCTTAGTGTAAGAAACGTTTGTGTTTTTTAATGTTGAATCCTGATAATTAGTGGGATTGTTGTCAGACAGTTGCTATAACAACAACTCCGTGTGTAGTGTAGCCGGCACAGGGCGGGAAAAAAAGAATAGAAGTGGTTTGAGTTGTTCTGACGGTTTTTCTGCGTCATTTTCTCTTCTATTCAGGCCTTTTATGTATTTACTGTCTACATCTTGCTGAACTGTGACCTGTATCACAAACCTTACTATTTATTTTCTATTATTTTTAATTTTTAATTTTCTATTATTTTTAATAGAGTATTTTCTATTTAAGTATTATTATTTAAGTGGGATGGTATTGTTCTCCCCTTTCATGTTGTCAGACACTGATTTAGTTCTACCGATGTTATTCTACATCAGTCAGGCACAGAGCTCGATGTTGTTGGTTTTGTTTGGACGTAGCTTTCATCTATTGTTCTCTGGTCCTGCTCACCTCTCCTGGTCCTCCTTCCTTCTTAGATGTTATCCAGTGTAAGCTTTGGACTGACAACAGTTGAGCGTCTTTCTGTGGCGCCAAGTTCTCTTTGGGAACCGAATGAATAAAAGATGAGAAGAGCCTAAACAGGAAGACATCTGTTGTGAAACAAACAAAACATTACTCTTTCTGCCACCGTGCAGACACAGCCATCTTTTAATATATGACAGCTTCTCATTTCTCTCAAATACATGTGTATTCAAAAAAAAAAATAAAAGGAATACTTGATGGATGACAAAAGCCTTCTAATACAGTAATGGATTATGTGGCATTTAATAGGTGTAAAAATAAAGTGAGCTGTCTTTGATTCACTGAAGACTGAACACCTTTTTACCCTTGCAACCATGCTTCCTGTAAACACATCATTTTACTCAGGTTTCCTGTTAAATACTTGGACATATCCAAATATATAAGCACAAAGTACAGTACAGCACAGAGGAAACAGCTGATAGAACATTGAGCATAGATAAGACAAGATACGCTAATTCTTTATTTTTAATTTCTCTAAAGGATTTCTCTCATCAGTCACTCTGGTTGCTTTAACCCATTTTGCGTAATTAATTGCTGTGATAATTGTAATGACATCCACTATCCAAGCTTTTCTGCTTGTTAAGTTCCAACGCCTGATGCTGCTCAGCTGAGTAAACGACCTTCTGTCCCAGAGATGTATTTTAAATCCTCCTCCTGCTTTTCTGGCTGCTCTGTCTCTCACTTCACTTTTAATTCAACCCAAGAGCTCCGATTTTATGAATAATTAAGGCAGAGAGTTATTCCCGTGAATGTTTATTTAATGGCGCCCGCGTTCACATCCTCTCTGAGGATTTTTACGGGTTTTGGTGATGAATCGAGCTGGGACGTGTAAACCTTGTTCCCGCCGTAGAAGCGGCCGTCTGCAGCTCGGCCTGGGTTTGTGTGCGGAGCGCGCCTTCCTCGCCGTTCCCGCGGCGTCTCTTCCATCAGGAGTGGCTCACCTGCACAGGCAGAACACATGCTTTATTCAGGTGATGTTTCATTCATTCGCTGCTCCTGGCTGAAGTGGATGCAGCTGAGTCATTCATCTCCGTCAGACGGGCTGGGAGGCATACGTTACAGTCTGGTGACGAGCGTGGAGGACGTCACAGAAACACAGGCGTGCTTTGTATTGTTCACGTGCAATTAACACCCTGCCACCACCTCTCCCATTTCTAAATATATCGTTTTTGTTTGTTTTCTGTATTCCTGCAGACAAAGTGTTTGGCAAATTTCTGAGTTGGGATATAGAGGAAGCGGTGCATCAACTTCCGCTTAAGCCGGGCCAGACTGTGACTCTCACTATCAGCATCAAAGTCAAGCTGGACTTCTCCGGTCAGGAGAACCTGCTGCAGGACCTGAATGATGGTGAGTGGACCCCTTTGATGCTTCTGCCTCGTTTCGCAACGTAATCACCAACTTCAATGTTTTTATTGGGATTTTTGTGATATGATAAATTCTGCTGGACGATGAATTGGCCCAGAAATGATTGAGATGAATGATAATGTTGCCATTTTCAGACCATTTTCAACTAATATAATAACAATGGAAAAATAATGCGAGATATTTTTTCCTAAATAACTCGCTTGCTCTCTCAAAAAATTAATACAGAAAAAGGTAAAAAAAAACCCCAAACATTTAGCACTGGAACTGGAAAACACTTTAAATATCCAAAATAAAACAAAGCAAATAGAACATTGACAGTTAAAATGGATTATGAAGTCTCTATAACCAAATTTGTATTTAAAAAAAAAAAAAAAAAATCACTCAGCATAGACAGGGCAAACAGGCAACAGTGACAGGTAGCCCAGATTTACTACTTTGTACTGGGTGTCAAATGTTTGCAGCTTTTCTTAAAATGGTGGCTTTTCAACAGCATCTCTTTGACGACTGTTGTTCAAGTGGAAATGATCACTCATTTTAATTTATCATATGATTATTTTATTTACTGCTCATGGTGACAGGCCTGTCATAACACATTTTGTTGGGCGATAAATCGTCCCAAGAGTTCTTGCGATAAACGATAATAATGTTGTTTTGAGACCATTTTCAAGTAATGCATTGATACCAGCATAGTAACGTAAGTTTGCAGTTTAATTCCATAAAGAACACTGGAACTGTAAGACATTTTAAATATCCAAAATAAAAACACAACAACCAAAAGCAACAAATACAAAGGATATAAAAACCAGACATAACCATAAAACCATCAATAAAATGGAATAAAATTGCCCTTCAAAAATAAATGACCATCAAGGAAGGTCATTTTAATTCATCATGCAATTCATTATTTGCTTGTTGTGACAGGGTTAATTGTGGGAGGCTTAGTGTTCAGTCACACAAAATCCCAATAAATGATATCAGTCTTTTTGACCATAATATGAATAAATGTAAAAAAAAAAAAAAAAAAAAAAAAATAAAAGGGACTTGGATACATCTGTACAGCACTGTGCACTGGACAAAGAAGAGCTGATAATTATGCATACCTTCATCTTTTGTGACCCATTCTTATTTAATTTAAGCAAAGTAAAGTTTGTTTATGTAGAACATTTCAACAACAAGACGGTTCAAAACAATACAGTCATCAGTTATGAAACATTACATTCTGTCAAATGTCATCAAGCAAATACATATCAGATATAACGATCAATGTTCTACTTACTATTAATCACAGGCAGCTCTACACAGCCAGTGTTTCAGCGTAGATCTATAATAATAAATATTTAGCTGCAGTTCTTTTAATATACGACCTGTAATCATACATACTGGAAACGGAAACATTTCCTCTTCTGCTATGGATTATTATTATTATTTTTGCAAAGTAGCAGTCCATGTGCTCGTATTGAATGAATGTGCTGTTCTACATGGACCCGGCTTGTTAAAGAGTCTGCCTCCTCTTATTTAGGATTCAGCAGCGATGGCAGGAAGGTGAAGGTCTGTGCATCCGACTTTCCCCTCCTCGCCTGTACAGTAGCTTCCTCACTTCAGAGCTAGATTTTATCAGTTTGAATTAAAAAAAAAAAGAAAAACACCTAGTCAAGCCTCCTTCCCTACCTCAGAGCTCATTCAGTGCGTTCTCCCACAATCCTCTTCATTCTCTAACCTCCCCGGCCCGTATTTGCAGCTGTCTTCTTCCTCCCTCTTCATGCTGTCGAGTGTCTTTATTACAGACGCTCACGGGCTGATGAATATTAATGTGAGACGGACCTGCTCTCGCCGAGTTTACTTTAGAGGGCATTTGCATGTGGATTCAGACGCTTGGGAAGGCAGACGCAGGCGACGCCGCAGTGCCACGGCAGACATGAAGTCGTTGGAACGATACAGTTTGAGCGTTTTAATTAGCCCCGTGATTATCCAGGCCCTGAATTAATGAGATAAGATGTGTTTCCTCCAAATACAACAGCTCTGAATGCAGCTATTCCGGCAACTTTATTGGTTTGCAGTTTCATCCAAAGACATTCGATGCTATCTGGCATACAATATGTAAAGCGGTCATGGTAATTATGTCGGGTTGGTCTACTGATTAACCAATTTGCATAAACTTGTTGTTCAACTTTGTTTTCTGCACGCCTCTGTACAGGAAGATTACAAAGTTTGCTGTATTTGCTAATTGAGCACCAGCTTATTATTATTATTAGCATTATTTTTTTATGGTATAATTAAAAATGTTGAAATAAACTGTAGCATTGGTGTAGCCCCTTGCAAAACTATATTCATTAAACAAAAATGTCAATATTTTACTAACAGCACACCAACACAGTGTGGAGCAGAGTGATGAGGAAATACAATTTTCAACTTTTTCTACAAATGAAGAAAGTGTGCTGTGCTATGCAGCACTCCAGAGTAAATAATTCTATAATACTGATTAAGAAAGTTCTAGTTCCACTGGCAGATGATTACACAATTATGTGAAAAATTTCATAAGTGACAAAATCTGCCAGCAGAACTAGTACATTTTCACCAGTATTAAAGAATAATTTGCTTGAAACAAGCTTGTATTTCTCAAATAGAAGTTACTTGTAAGTTAGCTTTGTTCTAATCCAAGTGTACAGAGACATTTTCACTTTGAAACTGTACAAAAATACTTAAGATTTTATTTTTGCATCGATAGTCAGAGGGTCTAAAATTGGATTAAGATCTAATCAGCCTTCAGGTGTTTCAGGACGTTCTTTAGAAACGAGGACAGTGGATTCTAACATTCGCGTTGAGGATGTCTGTGCTGCTGCTACATGGTTAGCATTGAGATGCTATTTTTGGTTTGAAGAGCTTTGCCGATGGGCTAAGTAGATCCTATTTTTTATGATAAAAAAGTCATATTATCAAGCTTCTTAAGAAATGTTCCCCCTATGATTGATTTAAGAGAAAACATGTGAATCTTGATCGTTGTTGTTGGACTTGTCAAACCTAATCTTTGTTGACATTTTCAAGACGACACTGCCCAGGCTTCTTTCTGCTGATTCGGAAAGTTGCCCTGCTCTTTAAGCAGCAAAGCAGAGTGGACTCAGCCAAGTGTTGATTGTCATTGTTCAGTTTGGCAGCTGTCAGCATTTTACCGAGCTGAGTGAAGAGAGTTGGACATGCTGTGGTGCAGTGGATCCCAGCCTCTTCTCTAATGAGAGCTTACCTTCTCTCGCCCCGTTAGCAGAACAGTCATGTGCTCACTCACATACATATGTCCACACTCATTATTATCATCATTAACATGTTTTTATTGCATCCACCCACCTGACAACTTGGTAGCTCATGTCTACAGTAGGTGAAAGCATCGAGTGCTATTTTTTTTATTATTTAGGTAGACAAACTGAGAAAGATAAATCTTAAGATTTTCAATAGTTTTCATAATTATTTTTCTTTTTGATCAATTTATTGACGATAGTCTTTTTTTTGTGTCCCAGAAAAAAATATAAAGAAAGTTTTGCACTTTAAATCATGAATTTCATATACTAAGTTCAACCTCCAGCATGGCTAAAATATATAAAACAAAGCTCCTATTTATTATTTACTTTTTACTAACTAAAAGTCACAAGTCTTCAGAATATCAAAGGCTGTACTGGAAATGAACACTAATAGGTCTTATTTCATTCAGATTGCAACATCAAAGGAGTTACATGTTTTCGTTCAAATCTAATATTTTTGATTGCAAATTTGAAATGAGTATTGACTGATATGTGCGTGTATTATTGAGGAGTTTGTTTGGATTAAATCAGATAAAATTAGATATCTGATCATTAAAATGTGATTAAATCGGGTAATTCTCGAGAACTGCACCGCTCTTTTTCACTTATAGATGCTCATTATGATGCATAACCATGGTAGCGGCTTTATTTACTTCAGGAAGCAGCTGATTAGCATCTCAATTCACAAAGCTGGAACTATGCCCCCAAATCTCTTTCTCATCACACAACCAGACAGAGATTTATAAAGCAGTGACAAAAGCAAATGATGTGGATTAGCACCGCTTGCCAACAACTGACAGAGTCATCCTGGACATGTTACTTTGACAAATTCTCTGCTTTAATTGAGCTGTTAGCATAACAGTCAAGTATGACAGTCATACAGCAACAGTGTCTAAACTCAGACTTTTTCAGATTTCTCCCCGCAATATCTTTACGTTGGTACTTGAAGGCGCCTCGGCAGGAGGCTCAAAGGTTGTTAAAAAATGGAGAACATAGCAGAGACACATTCAGCGTGTCCTCGCATCCTTAAGTCTTAAATACGTCTATCCAGAATAAAGGCCTTAAAATGTCTTAAACTCGTTAAAAAATTTAAGTTTGCCTTAAATATTCTAATAAAAGGTCTTAAAGTTTGTCATGACAGCGATATTTAATCTCATATATCCTCAGATTTTTTCATTTTTTCTTGCAGGACTTTTCTGTCACTTTTCTTTATAGAGCAAGACATTTACAAGTGCTTTAAATAAATTAGAGTAAATACTAACTAAACATTAAAAAACAGAAGAAAAAAAAAACAGAAAAAACATAACCTAATAAGACGGAGCCAGCACCCAGCTGCAGACCGCAAAGGAAATTTTTCAACTTTTATTTAAATTTTAAGAAAAAAACAACAACCTTTAGTCATAAAACAAGCATAATGACTAAAAGTTTTGATGTCGATACATCCTTATAGTAGACATCAACACGTCTCAATAGCCTACGTTACTCATTGACTGCTTGGAAACCAATGTTTAAAGTTCCTACCATTTTGAACAAACGTGTTGTTTCATCTCCCAAGGAAGTTAAATTAGTTGCTTTTGAAGCTCCAGCTCTAAACAAATAGGGATAGTTTTTACAGCAAAATAGTGTTTTTAACACGTAGGGCTGTAGACCTTGATGTTACAGTTCCACAGCCTCAAATTAAACATTTTGAAA